AATTTACACTGCTGTGATTCAAAGGTGGCCTGAGAATTAAGAAAACAACTGTTAACTTCCACAGTGTGTAACAGAACCAAGGCAGGCTTCAGCTTACATAAACCAAACATGATAGCAGAGCCCCAGGGAGCCCCCATCTCACTCACTCCAACAGGAGTGTATTTTTTTCTTTCTTTTTTTAAAATGAGATGGGGTCTCACACTGGGGCTCAGGCTGGCCTTGGATTCATTACGTAACTCCAGTGGGCCTTGAACTCCAGTGGTTGATCCTCCTGCCTCAGCCTCGAAAGCACTGGGATTACGGGTGTGTGGCACCAGGCCTGGTAGTTTTCTGTTTATTAACTTGGGTGTTTATTTTTCTTAACTAAACTAAGACCTTGACAATTAGTATCAAAAACTAAACAGGGGGAGGGGCACATCTGTCTTATTACTTGAACAGCACCCTGTGACGGCTGGTGAGGCCACTGCTGGCATCAGCATGGTTTAGCATAGTGCCCTTGCTTACGAGACGCGTCTAATTCATCACCCTTGGGGGAGGGGCCGAGTGTCTGCAATTTTAAAGGCATCTCAAGAGCTTCAAAGCAGCCCCCGAGGACTACTGCATTAGCAGAAGGAAGACAGAGTTGGGCCTGCAAGGCTCTACTCACACAGCCGTCTCTCTAATCCGATCAGCATCAAGCCTCGGATTTAACCAGGATTCCCGCAGCAAGTCCGAAGAGGCAGCCAGACTAGTATCTCACCAGACAGGGCGTCTGCTCTGTCCCAGGTCACCTACCGGAGCTGCTGTAATGATGCTCTGCTAGTCAGTCTTAGGAAAGTTTTATGAGAAAAGAAAGCCACTGAATCAGCCACCTATACCCTTGTCATGCTGGATCAAACTTTGTGGAGAAGGGCAGAGGACAGAATTACCTAAAGGACTGAGCTTATTACCTCCACTGTGAAGCAGGGAAGCGAGCTACACACAGATGTCCAACTAATGCCAACGACCTGCACCTGGGCAGTCTGTGCCGGGGCATGCTCTGTGGGCGAGGGACCATTACCTGATGTCCTCTTCTATCTTTGCCTGAGCTTCGAGATCAAAGGGGTCAGCAGAGAAGAGACGGATCCTCTCTCGCTCTCTCCGGGCTCGGTCCTGCTGCTGTTCTACCAGGACTCTGGAAAATCTCTCTATAAAAATAAGGCAGGAAAATCTTCAACTCCACTCTATTTTTCTTTTTTATTTATTTATTTGATACACAGTCCCACTACGATTGACTGATTTGATACACAGCCCCACTATGCAGTCCAAGCTGGCCCTGAATTCACAGTAATTCCATCTCAGCCTCCTAGTGCCAGGATGCCTCATCATACCCGGGTATTTTCATTCTTTGTCAGTTCTGTTCTACACCAAACATTTCCCAAAATACAGCCACTAAAGATGTAGCAGGAATGCTTGAAAATTCTTGAAAACAAACATTTACTTTCCATTCCCTAAAGTCAATGTAATTTCTTCATTTAAGTCGAGTATAAAGAAACCTTATTCATAAACTTTATTCTTACATGTTACCCACTGTATTGTTTCCACTCAGATAACAACTTTCCAGTTAGATCAGTGAGGAAAGTCTGTATTTGTGGGCCAGATAAAGTCTTTACTTCTTCCCTCCCCACTGTCCCTGTTATCCTATGACCTAGGACAAAACCTATTACTATATCTTTTTCTTCTCAGTTTTGTTTCTTTCGTCTGCCTTAAACCAGGTAAATTTTAAACTGGTATTAACCTAACAATACTTTCTATGTTTTGATGGAAAATTGTCATAGAGAAAACTATCACATATGATGTATTGTTACCAAAAGTCTACTTTCTTAAACCTTAAATGATGGCACATTTAAAAAACGTGTAAACGTACAGATGCTGCCACCATGGTCTTTGGTGATTAACTATGTTGACCTAAGAATTAAATCAAGATAAAGGTCATTTCAACTGAAGATACAAGTAACACAGGTGGGCCTATCAATGGGAATGAAAGAGCTTGACCAAAGAGTAGACTAGGATTCCACATATCAAATTTAAAAATAGGCAAAATGTACCAACTGATTATCGAAACAGTGGCAGCCCCCGAGGGAGGAGAATGAATGGCAGGGAACACAACAGAGCCTTCTGGGGTGAGAGACATTACCTGTTTCTTGACTAAGATGGCAGGAGTTTGTTAAAAGTAAAACTCAATGAATTGTGCCAGGCATGGTGGCACACACCTGTAATCCCAGCATTAGGGAGGCTCAGGCAGGAGGACTGACATGAGTTTGAGGCCAGCCTGGGTTACAGTGAGTTCAAAGGCTGTCTCAGCTGTAGCAAAAACCTTGCTTCAAAAAATGCAAACAAAAAACCTCAATGAATTGAAGACTTACAATCTGTATTTCTCTGTGGATAAGTATGGGGAACAATAGTCAAATGCTGGGCATGGTAGAGAATGCTTGCTATCCCAACCATGTGGGAGGCTGAGGCAGAAAGAACGCCACATTCATGTTCAAGGCCAGCCTGGGCAATTTAGGGAGACCTTGTCTCAAAAATAAAACAAAGAAAGGGCTTAGAATGCAACACAATGGTAGAGTCCTTGCCTTGCATGTATAAGACCCTCAGTTTAATTCTTAGTGCCAGAGGAAAAAAGTCAATTGAAGAAAGAGATAGATATGTACTATGCTTTAAAAATTTATAATCTGTGAGCCAGGTATGGTGGTGCACACCTATAACCCCACCACTCAGGAGGCTGAGGCAGGAGGATCACTGTTAAGTTTGAGACGAGACTGAGCTACAAAGTGAGCTCAAGGCCAGCCTGAACTGCATAATGAGACCCTGTCTCAAAAAGACAAAAGACCAGGCTGGAGAGATAGCCTGGCGGTCTAACCGTCTGCCTGGCAAGCACAAGGACCCAGGTTTGAATCCTGATGCCACATGCCATGCTGGTACCCCTGGAACCTCAGGTACACCACGCTGGCCATCAAAACCAGGCATGGTGATGCATCCTTGTAATCCCAGCACTGGAGAGGCTGAGACAGGAGGATCGCTATGAGTCCGAGCTGTATTGTGAGACCCTGTATCAAATACATAAATAAATAAGCAAATAATTTTTTAAAAATCTTCAGTTTCATAATCCAAAAATGGGAGAAAGTGAGAAAACCTCGTATTATAAAAGTTGAAAGTAAGCATTCTGTTTAATAAATGAATGGTTCTACACAGCTCCCCAGCTCCAAAGGAACAGCTGGCAGCAACCATGTTGCCACCTAAACTTGGGGTAGAAGACCTCAGGGGCTCCCAGCTGGCCACCCAGGCTGAAGGCACTGCAGATGTGCTCTGGAACCAAAAGCAACTCAGCTGGGATCAGCTGGCGTACTGGAGAGCTCAGAGGACCTCAGTCAGTAATGGTGAATCTTTTAGAGTTTTCAAGGTTAACAGTCTGCTATGGCACATGTGTCTTAGGTCTGTCACCACTGATCTAAGTAAACAGGTCAAAATATCAGAACCTGGCCTTACTCTGCTAAAAGAGGAAAAAAGTAAATAAAGGGGGCCAGTCCACATAGGGCTGAGTTCTAGAATCCTACCACTATTGCCAATTAACCCACCTTTGATGTCAATGAACACCAATTATCACTCACAGACACATAACAGATGTGTTCCACAAAGCACAGAAGACAGTGGTGCAAATGTACTGCCTGCTGGAGTCTTGCATTCACTGAGACATGACTGCTTCACCCAGGTCAGCCCGACAGCCTCCCAGATGCACAGGCTTACCAAGGTCTCCACTGAGCAGGGCTTCTGCCAGGGGCGGGTTGCGCTCCTTCAGCAAGGACAGCTCATGCGGGTTGGCCAGCAGCATGTCTCGGAGCAGAGCTGGGTTGTCTAACCCCTGAGGAGAGGACGCTATTTCTCCAGGAGACGAGTGGGGCTGCTGCGTGCTTGCTGCTGGGCGCTGGCGGGGGCTGGACGTGCCAGGCACAGCTATGCTGCTGAAGTCTATCCGTGGTAAGTCTGTTGGTGGTGGGGGAGGGGGAATCAATCAGGTTTACCCAAATGACTCCAGAAAAGCAAGTGCTGAAGAAACAGAACACTTGCTCATGTGCAGTATGTAACAGCAGAAATGGCAACCTCAGATATCCACAACCTAACGTCTTCCAATTGTGCACTTCTAATATAAACATGGCAATCGCTGAGATCCTGGATAGGAAAGGACGGGAAGATGCACTGACAGCGGCAGCAACCCCAAATTCTAGGTGCTACGGTTTCCATCAAGCATGTTCTCAAGCAGGCACAGGCTCACAGGCAGGGCTCTCAAAGAGAATTGGATGTGGGGTGCTACAGCTGACTTGTGTTAGCAAGTGGGGCCTGGCTAGGAGGCAGGAAGTGGGGGCACAACCTGGAAACGGCGATCTCCCCACTAGGCTCCTCCTCACTCTGCTTCCCCAATGCCAGGAGCAGCTTTGCTCTGCAACCCTTCCACTTGCTGCTTCCACCTTGGACTGTAACTGGGAGCCAAAATAAACCTCCTGTAAGTTTTGAGTGTCAGGTATTTGTCTCTGTGACAAGGAAAGGGACTAAGATATTTGGGATTATAAAATACCCCAGAACATACCGGGAAGATAGCTCAGTTGAATAAGTGCTTGCCTGGCAAGCGCAAGGGTCTGAGTTCAATTCCTGGTTCTGGGAAAAAAAAAAAAAAATTCCTAAAATACCCCAGAACAGATAATGAAGGCATTCTCAACACATGAAGTCACACAATGCTGCCTAATGTTCCTGAGAAAATCCCAGTCTGGCTTGAGGTATATTTCAAAGACTTCTGGCTCTTGGGGTGAAGAATACGATCTACAGCAAGTGAACATGACAACACTGATGTTAAGTCCTGTAAGTCTGTGCTACACACGTCAGTTTGCAGAGTTTTTTTTTTTTTTTTTTGCAGAACTGGGGATTGAACTCACGCCTTGTGCTTGTCTGGCAAGCACTTATTCTACTGAGCCATCTCCCCGACCTCCAGAGTTTGTTTTTAAGACAGGGTCTCACTACATAGTTTAGGGTGGCCTTGAACTCACTTTGTAGCCCACACTGGCTGTGAACTCAGTATTCTCCTGCCCCAGCCTCCCAAGTACTGGGATTACAGGTATGTGTCACCAGCCCTGGAAGTTCTTAATAGTTCTTTGACTTTCTTAGCCTTGCATCAGAGGCTAACTCTTTTATGCCTAAGGAAGTTAGGTGGTACAACTATTTTACAGGAGAAAAAAATAGAAAAAGGATTGGCACAGGCTGTTTTTTTTCTTCTTTTGTACTGGGAAGAGAACTCAGTGCCTTGTGCTTGCCAGGCAAGTGCTGTATGTACTGCTAAGCTACATCCCCGGCCCTCAGGCTTGGACTTGAATCTACCAGCAGCTATTGTTTAGGGTCAACAACAACTGCCCAGGTTCTGTATTGTAGCTGAACTGGCCTCATTAAAAGGAAAGCAAAATACGGAGCACTAATCTTTCTTCAAAGGACTCACGCACGGCACAACTCCATTTCCATGGAGTAGGTAGCCGCAGAGACAGCAGGCAGACTTGAGCTTAGGGGAAAGAGGTAATGAGTGCTAATGAGCACTGTAATGAAAGTGAGCTAAAATTACTTTGATGGTCAGACAACTCTGAATATGCTAAACACCACGGAATGGGTAAGCTGTATGGCCTATGAATTATGCCTCAAAAAATTAGTGGGAAAAAAAAGGAAAAAGAAAAGTAGAGTCACAATAAGGGAAGGTCTAAGATACACTTTTTTCACACCCTCAAAATACATTTTGTGAACAACTGTCCCAAATCTAGGACCATTCTGAGGCCTACTGACCTCAGATACAAAAAGGGAATGTTCAAACTCTGGGTGTCAGGTTTTGGCCTGACAACAGGCTCAACCAGCCATGTCTCCATACAGACCTCAGCTGGTAGGCACCTTAAGAGCGGAGAAGGGGTGAAGGAGGGGGGCAGAGAGAACCCCAGGGGGTGAGGGCAAGCTGGTAACAGCCTCCGTGAGGTCTTTAATCTTCGAAGCTACCAAAGCACATATGGCTGTGCCTGATTTGCAAGCCAAGAAATTTTATCTCCACGCCGATGGCATACTATCGTGAGAGTCCATTCATTTCAGAATTTTTTTTTTTTTTTTTGGCAGTACTGGGGATTGAACTCAGGCCCTAGCGCTTGTCAGGCAGGTGCTTATTCTACCAAGCTACCTCCTCAGCCCTCATTTCAGAGTAATTCTGAAAACTTATTACTTTATAAACTAGGACCTCCTTGACAACATACAGGCTACCTTGTGCACATGGGGATAAATAGCACAGAAAAAAAGCAGTGACTTTCCAATGCTAACAACATCACCAAATTAACCAAAGAAACACAGGGCAATTTGCTCTGCCCTGACAGGCACATTTGAACCATGACTAGTTCTGAAATTTAGCAGTAGCCCAAGGGACTAATACAATGCGGATCTGAGGAAGCTGGCGCCTGATGCTCTTGTACTGCTCCAGTTTCAGAGTGAATGGAAGCACTGTGCTCAGCGCTCAAGCTGGTTGTCATCCCAGACACGTATCACTTATTACCATCATCGCTGAAACGGAAGACTTAGAGGCCAAAGCTGTTTGGGGCTGGCTACCAGCTGGGCACCGTGGTGCACAGCTAGTCTGGAGGCTGAGGCAGGAAGCTTGCAACC